CATCTCCTCCCTCCTCCTCCCCTTCCTCCTCCTGCTCTGTCCTGTTCCTGATTCCCCTGGGGGAGGGGTCTGCTACTGGGTCCCTGAGTCCTCCCCAGAGCCCTCAGAGTGCCTGCCCCTCCCCTGCTGCCCTGGCAGCCACAGCCTGGAGGCAGCCTGACCAGGGCTCCAGCAACTCCGATGAGGAGGGGTCGAGCACCTGGGAGGAGCCGGAAGTCACCCAACCCTGTCTCCAGGACAAACTGCACGTGAAAGTGGCTGCCCTGGTGGTGTTCCTGCTCCTCAAATACTGCAACAAGCAGCCGACCCGCCAGGCAGAGATGCTGGAGATTGTCAGCAAAGATTACCAGGACGACTTCCCAGTGATCATGGGCCAAGCCTCCGAGTGCCTGAGGCTGGTCTTTGGCATGGATATAAAGGAAGTGGACCCCAGTGACCACTCCTACGTCCTGGTCACCGTCCTGGGCCTCACCTGTGATGGGATGCTGAGCAGTGAGCAGGGCATGCCCAAGACCAGCCTCCTGGTGCTGCTACTGGGGGTGATCCTCCTGGAGGATGACTGTGCCTCTCAGGGGGAGGTGTGGGAAGTGCTGGGGGCCATGGGAGTGTATGCTGGCAAGGAGCACATCATCTGTGGGGAGCCCAGGGAGCTCCTCACCAAAGTCTGGGTGCAGGAAGGGTACCTGGAGTACCAGCGGGTGCCTGGCAGCGACCCTGCCCGCTACGAGTTCCTGTGGGGTCCCAGGGCCCACGCCGAAACCAGCGAGATGCAAGTGTTGGAGTATTTGCTCTGGGTCAATCGCAGGCAGCCCAGTTCCTCCCTGATCCTGTCTGAAGGAGCTGTGAGCGATGAGGGAGAGGGGGCCTGAGTCCCAGTGGTGGCCAGGGCCTTTCCAGGCTTTGGCAGGGTCGGCCGCTTCTCCTGCGGGGTGCTGGGCATGAAGTGAGGCCACATTTTGGTTCTTCCCTGTGTATGTGAAGAGAGAGCCCTGGGAGTTCTAAGTAGGGTAGGGCCAGGGAGGGTTGGGGGAAGAAAGCAGGGTGAAGAGCCAGCCTCTCTGGGGGCCTGTTCTCTGCAATGACTCTGACATCCAGAGCTTGGTTTTCTTGAGGAAGCTCTCAAATGTTGTTCCTTGGAATAGAAGTTTTAACCAGGTTCGGCAGCTAAGTGTGGGCGTGACATCCACCCCACAGCATTTGTACTTACTCAGTTCAAGAGTTTTAAGAGTTTTGTCATGTTCTGGAAATAAGGTGGGAGATCTTCCCTCCTTGTTTGGGTTCTGGAATAAAATCACAGGGCATTGGCATAGGAATTTGTTGGAAAGGTGAAAGAATGGAGCAGTCAAGTGACGGGGTCAGGAAATAGGGAAATAAAAGATTGTTCATTTTTGCTTCTTACTCCTTCTCGTCTGTCATTCTGCAAAAGTAACATAGATACGTGCTCCTTCATTCGCTTGGTTCTTCAAGAAAGGAGGAGAAACGACATCTCAGCACAGAGGGAGCCCTGCTCACTGGCTCCTTGATTCCCAGACATGGACGGAGCTCTGCTCTCTGGAAGGCCCTGTGTGTGAGCAGTGAGGACATTAGGAGAAGCAGGACACGTCCCACCCTTAGGGGACTGTCTAGCAGCTGCTCTCATGGCAGGAAAGTGGGGAGAGGTGCCCTGAGACCTGCAGAAGAAACGGAAGAAGGGTGAGGGAGTGCGGCTCCCGGGGCAAGCACTGCAGTGGACGTGCCCCTGGCCTGGGTGGCTCAGGGTGTCGGGTCACCGTGATTCCCTCTGTGCAGCTGATCACCGTGAACCTGGGGGGCGACATTGGCCCTGCTTGGAGACAGGGTGCCTTAGAGGTGGGAGCAATGTCTGAAATGGATAATTGCTCTGAGAAGTTCCTTCTGGATCCTGGACAAACCACGGAGAAATCTCCCCCTGGGGCAGGAAAAGAAGGTATCCTGCACTCTCATCCCAAGGCAGTTGAACACAGTGCACAGACTAGGTGTTTTATATCCATCATCTGCAAGTATTTCTGGAGAAATACAGTGATATTCCTTTGAAGTGGAGCCCAGAAGACTCTAGACTGACACTCTTGTCCTGACCATGCAAAGCCAGAACCCACTGCATTAAAAAGTCATTTTAGTTTGGTTATCCGGAGTGCAATGTGGACAGCTATAAGTAAGCAAGGTCTAGGTTTTGGTGGGGGGAGAAATGAGAGAAAGGAGTGGTTTGGTGGAAGAGCAGCTGGGAGGGAGGGAAGGAGCTGGTCTCTGGCTCACATTCTAGGAGCTTTGTACTGTGTCCAGCTGGGACACTCCCCTCACACACCTGAATTCCACACATAGTCCCAGACATCTCCTGTATATCCTCTGCTTTAGAAAATGGATTGAGGTTTACTTATGAAGCACCCTCTTTGGCTGATTAGCTGTTCCATAGCTATTCCATGTCCTATTGAGCTGCACATTCTCTAACATGACCTGGGTAACAGAACAAGTACCCCAGAGGAGAGAGTGGAAGGCTCTGGGACCAAAACAGCACTTGAAATCACTGCCATTCATCAAAGTTCCAATAGATGCCAGGCACTGTGCAAGGTGCTCCCCATATATCACATGCATTCCTGCAGTCCTGCAAGACGGGGCTGACCAAACTCACTCACTTAACTCACTCACTTCAGAAAGAACCTGAGGCTCCTAGGACTTGGTCATTTTCCCAGGATCACATGGCTAGTGAGTGACAGGGCAGAGACTAGAACCCGGGTCTGAATTCACGGAGAGTCCACGCTGTTCCCACCCACCGCAGCCTGTGTCCAACCTTCTGAGTCCTACGTCATTCCTGAGGACAGCATGGTGTCTTCCAGGTGACAAAAAGAAGGATGCTGTGGCTAAGGTACTAAAAAACCTGTTGCTAAGGAAGGAAGGTGACAATGAGAATCAAACAGGTTCTGGGTACTGTCTGTGGGCTTTATTAACCTAGAGTTCTTCTGCCTGAGCCTCAGAGTCCTTTGAGAACTGACTGCCCAGGCACTGGCAATTTTTCCAGACCTAGCACTTTCCCGAATTACAGCAGCCTTTCCCTGGTATTCCCCCTGTGTGCTCTTCTGTCTCACTCTTGAACCTGGCCTGCTAACGAGCTCATTCACTGGTCCCCATGGAACAGCTAGGAATCACCTTCTCTCCCCCAACATAGAACTTTACTCTCTGTAGTAATCCTCTGGTCACTAAATGAAGAAAGTGAATCCTCCCTGCTGAGATCACAGAATCGTTTGAAAATTAGATGTCATCCTGTACTTGAAAGTATCTGTCACACAGGAGGTGCTTGAAAAGTTCAAAGAATTCCAAGGCAAACTGACCTCAAAAACTCCTCCCCTGGGATGCCTGGGTGGCTCAGTCAGTTAAGCGTCTGCCTTTGGCTCAGGTCATGATCCCAGTGTCTTGGGCTCGAGTCCCACATCAGGCTCCCTGCTCCATGGGGAGCCTGCTTCTCCCTCTGCCCGCTGCTCCCCCTGCTTGTGCAATCTCTTTCTCTCTCTCTCACTGACAATTAAATAAATAAAATCTTAAAAAAAGAAACTCCTCCCAGCAATAAAGTCAGTCGTCATAACAAATTATAATAGTTGCATTTGGTTAAGCCCCCACTGTGTAACAATACATGGGAGAAACTTTAATGTTCATCCATAGTGTGTCTTGCTTTCCTTCCAGGATACAGGGGACACCACCTTGCCAGTCCCCTTGTAGTTAGGGAGGGTTGCGTGATGACCCTTTGCCATGGAGATGTGAGCAGAAGCATTGTTTCTCACATCCAGGCATTTGCGTGCGAGCCAGTGTGTCCGTTCCATGCTGTCTCCCTTGATTCACCAGCAAACATGGTGACCCCGTGTTGAGATAGGGGAGCCACAAGATGAAACCAACCTGGACCCAGGGTCTAGGAAAAGCAGAGGGTCCCTGCCAAACTGTATCAGAATTTGTGTGCACAAAAATGCATTTCTGGTGTGTTAGCCCGTCAAATGTCAAAGTTTGTTCCATCGGTTAGCAGTTACTTTCACGCAGCCGCTTTTTTTGTTGTTGGGCTTATCTAGAAATTTTACTTAAGAAGGTAGTAGTACACATCTTTCTATTGCAGAAAACGTCTAAAAATACAGATGAGTCACAATATCCCCTTTTCAAAGTTCCTCCACAATTTAGCCTCCTCCTCAGAAGTCACCATGACTAACAATCTAGTGTGCGTTATTTTTATTTTTTTAATTTAAAACATTTTTTTCCTTTGAGAGAGAGAAAGAGTGTCTGAGTGGAAGGAGGGGCAAAGGGGGAGAGAGAGAGAGAGAGAGAGAGAGAGAGAGAGTCTCTCAAGCAGGCTCCATGCTCAGCACAGAGCCTGACTCGGAGCTCCGTCTCAGGACCCTGAGATCATGACTTGAACCGAAATCAAGAGTCGGACGCTTAACCAGCTGAGCCACCCAGGCACCCCTAGTGTGTGTTATTCTAAAGGTGACTATGGCTTCTTCATAGATATGCTCTACGAATATATTGTTTTTATTCAACCTAACCCGTAATGCTGTGCATATTGCTCTGCCACTAGCTTTTGTCACTTAATAAAATGGATGCAGGATCTTCCCATGACAGCACATCTAGATCTACCTCACTTTTGAAACTATTCCCTGGAATGTTAAAGTTTGTATATACCATAATTAATCACATAAACAATTTTTTTTCCGGGTGGAAACAAGTTGTTTTCCCTTTATCGTATGATTAATAAAATGAAAACAACATCTTTGACTATGAATCCTTGGGTAGACATGAATGTTTTCTAAGAAGATATACATACTAACATAGACATTGGGTTAGAGTGGAGAGGGTGTGAATTGTTTGACATTTCATAAATGTGTCTGAAATTTTATTCCACAGGTGCTATACCAGTTTGCATTCTCATAAAAATTGGAAATGATTTAAGGTTCTGCAATATCAACAAGACACATCCCCCTCTACTTTGAGAGAGAGGGATTTGGCCAGAATGACCAGCAGCCAGGGGAGGAGACCAGCCAGGACACCCTCAGCTAGTGAGGGGCACTGAGAGCATCCTGGGGAACGTGATGGCCAGAGTCCATGAGAGAAAACGAGTACGAAACCAAGTGCAGAGAGCCCCAGGCAGGCTGGCAGTCAGGGCTCTGAATCTAGAGTTCAGCTTAGGGGGAAAGGGGCCAAAAGGAGAGATGGCGGAGAGGCGGAGGGATTCAGGAGAAAGAACGTGGATGGGCTGGATGGGCTGGGGAAGCCTCTGAATCATTATCACCAGCTGGAAGTTGCGGGGTGGTCTGACAGGGCAGGTCTGTTGGATGAATGGATCAGCAGCATGCCAGACACCCCACTACTGTAGAGCCCCCCTACCTCTGTCAGGAAGAGTACACCTGGCTCCCTGCCCCTGAATTCAGGTGAGCGACATCTCTTGACTACTCTAGTGGTCCAGGGCATCCTTGCCAGGGTCCCAGGGCTGGGAGCTGTCATGATGCCTGCTGGAGGCAGGGGGCTTTCCCCCTGGGTGCAGTGCAACCCCACATAGAGGTTGGGGCTATGTGAGTGAGGGGTTGGTGACCGAGGAAGGACAGCTGAGATAGGCCAGGAATACCCAGGAGCAGTGGAAGGGAGCGTGCTGCTAGCTGCAGGGAGGGTGAAATTGGAAGGAGAAAGCCCTGGGGCCAATCACCTCAGACTCTGCAGATAAAGGGCTGGGCATGGACACGCTTGAAAGCTGTCCAAATGGTGTCCACGGCTCAGACTGCCTTCCAGGGCTCCTGAGGTCGTGGCATAGCAGGGGCGGGTGTCCTGTCCTGTGGCTATGACGGCTGGCCTGTGTTGCCACCAGTTTGCAGGGTGGGTGGAAAAC